ATTAGCTAGGACCTTCAGTATGATGTTAAATAGGAGTGGGGACAAGGGGCATCCTTGTCTGGGTCCCCTTTATAAGTGGAATTGTTTTAATCTTTTCTCCATTGATTAACACGTTGGCTTTTGGTTTTTCATATATAGCTTGTATACTATTGAGGAATTTTCCTACCATTCCTATCTTCTTGGGTGTCTTAAACAGGAATGAGTGTTGGATGTTGTCGAATGCTTTTTCCACAGCTATTAATATTATGTGGTTTTTATAATTTTTCACATCAATGTGGTGAATAATACTAATGGTATTCTGTATGTTGAACCATCCCTGCATCACTGGTATGAGTCCCACTTGGTCACGGTGAATTATTTTTTTATTGTGCTTTTGTATTCTGTTGTCCAGTATTTTGTTAAGGAGTTTTGCATCAATGTTCATTAGGGAAATTGGTCTGTTGTTCCTAATTGTTATGGGATCCTTGCCCGCTTCAGGTATCAGAGTTATTCTAGCTTCATAGAAAGAATTTGGGAGTTTTCTGTCTTTTTCTATGTTCTGGAAGAGTTTGTGTAGGATTGGTGTCAATTCTTCCCTGAAAGCTTGGTAGAATTCTCCTTTGAAGCCATCTGACCTGGGGGATTTTTTTTGTTGGTAATCCCTTGATAATTTTGTCTATTTCTTCTATTGCTATGGGTCTTTTGAAGTTCTTGACGTCCATCTGAAATAGTCTAGGGGGAGATTGTGTTTCCAAGTATTTGTCCATGTCTTCCAAGTTGTTGAATTCGTTAGAGTACAGGCTTTCTTAGTACTGTGTAATTATCCTTTTGATTTCATTAGGGTCCATTTTAATGTGCCCTGTTTCATCTCTCATCCTTGTTATTGACATTTGTTCCTTCCTTTCTTTGGTTACCAGAGGTCTATCAAATCTGTTAATTCTTTCAAAGAACCAACTTTAGCAACATTTTTTCCATAGTTTTCTTGTTTTCCCACTCCTGTGTCTCAGCTCTGGTTTTTATTATGTCTTTCCTTTTGCTATTAGTAGGATTGCTCTGTTGACTCTGTTCTAATTGCTGTAACTTTTGTATCACCATATTAACCATAAGTCTCTCTGCCTTTTTCACATGTGCATGTACGGCTATCAGCTTTCCTCTGATAAATGCCTTTGCTGTGTCCCAAAGGTTTTGGTACATTGTATTTTCATTCTCATTGGTTTCTAGAAACTTCATGATTTCATCTCTGTATGGGCAAATACCCACTCCTTTTGCAACAGAGAGTTATTCATCCTCCAGTGTTTCCCTTGCTTTCTTCATTGTCCTTTTGTTGATTTCCAGCCTTATGGCATCGTGGTCAGAGAGAGACGTCTGTAAAGTCTCTATTTGCTTGAATTTACACAGGTTTGACTTGTGTCCCAGCATGTGGTCTGTCTTCCAGTATGGGCCATGTGGTCTGGAAAAGAATGTGAATTGCATTTGGGTGGAAAGCTCTGAAAATATTTATCAGGTCAAGTCGTCCAGTTGTGATGTTTAGATCTGTAGCCTCCTTGTTAAGTTTCTTTTCTTGCGATCTGTATTTTTCAGAGAGTGGAGTATTAAAGTCACCTACTATAATTGTTGAGCCTGTGATTTCTTTTTTCGTCTTTTGGAGTGTTTGATTTACAAATTTCACCGGTCTCTTGGGTGCATATATGGTTATTGTGCTCACTGGTTCTTGGTCTGCTACTCCCTTGAACATTATATAGTGCCCCTCCTTGTCTATTGTTGTGACTTGTACCATGCGATCAATTTTCTCAGAGATTAAGATTGCTACCCTGCTTTTTTTGGCATTGCCTTTGCTTGGTATATTTTTCTCCAGTCTTTAATTCTCAACCTGCTTTTGTCTGCAAGCTTGTTTTGTCTCCTGTAGGCGATCGATGGGTTATGTTTTCTGAGCCAGTCGGTTAGCCTCTGCCTTTTAATGCATGAGTTTAGTCCATTGATTTTCAATGTTATTACATCCATCTGTGGACTCTGTTATATCATCTTGTACCTTTTAGGTTGGGTGTTTTCCTACTTACTTATCAGTTTGGGTTATGTGTGTTATATGTTATATCTTGACTTCTTTCCATTATTGAGATAATGCTGTCTTGGGGGCTGTTTTCTCTTTGTTGCCCTCTGGGTGGAGTTGTTCTATATGATGGTCTCTTATTTGCCCTCGGTGGCTATTGATCTTCAGCCCATATTGGTTCAGCAAGGATCTATTGTAGGGTTGGGTTTCTTTTTATGTATTCTTTTACTTTTTCCTTGTTTAGGAAGACTCTTACTTCTCCATCTATCTTAATAGATAATATGGCCGGGCATAGTATTCTTGGGTTTGCGTTATTTTTCTTCAATTTTTGGAATATGTTACTCAACCCCTTCCTCTTCTTCATTGTGTCTGCTTATAGGTCTGAACATATTCTTTTTTGGGTACCTTTATAAGTGACTATTTGTTTTTCCCTAGAGGCTCTTTTGATTCTCTCCTTTTCCTCATAGTTGGATAATTTAGCTGTTATGTGTCTTGGTGACTTCTTGGGGTTCAGTCTGGCAGGTGTTCTTTTGGCCTACTGAATGATTGCCTGATTTTCATTTATTAAGCTGGGGAAGTTTTCCTCAAGAATTCCCTCGCTATTTTCACTGTTGGTTTCTTCATTGTGTCTTGTTCTGGTAGTCCAATTATTCTAATATTGTTCCTATTCATAGTCTCAGACATGCTATGGCTCTCAGGTTTTCTTCAGCTTCTCTGATTATCTTATTTGACTGATTTTTCCATTTGTTGAGATCTGCTTGGTTATCCTCTAGGTCATTGGTGTGATTCTCTGCCTCCTCAAGTCTGTTGGCAATGTCTGTTAATTTGCTACTGGATTTTGTTATTTCATTCCATAGGTCTTAAATTTCCCTTTGGTGTGTTACCTTTATCTCCTCTATCATTTCATCCTTTTTCTGTATTGAATCCCTCATATCCTGTATGACTGCAAGCAGCATTCTGAAAATTTCTTTCTGTGGCTGGTCAATGTCTGCTTTTTCTCTGTATGTCTTTAGGTTCATAACTTCTTCCAGCATTGTCTTCTGTTCCTCCTGATTTTTTAGTTGAAGCTGTTGGGGTTGGTTGCTGTTTAGGTGTTGTTTTAGCACAGCTCCGTGCCATCTTCCAGAACCAAAGAGCACTGAGCTTTCTCTTGGGGGACTCGTATAAGTGTTTCTATGAACTACCTGCAGGTAGCTGTACTGGGGGGTCAGGCTACTACTGTATCTTCCTGTGGTTTCACTCTTATCCTAGCCAACCAGTATTCCATTATTTGAAATGTGATTTGGATAGTCCTCTCATGGGACACTGCTCGGGTGGTTGTGGGGCATGAAAGGAAAAAGAGGGAAAGAAGAGGAAAAAGAGAAAAAGAAGAAAGAAAAAGAGAAAACAAAACAAAACTGGGCCTGTCGAGATCGACTGTTGGGGGGGAGATAGAAGGGAGAGAGAATAAAGAGAGAAGAAAAAGAATAGTAAGTAAAAGGAAATTACAGGCTTGATTGCCTGACCATGGGCCTGGAGGAGTTCCAACCCTGTCTCGAGGTAGCGGGGAGGTGTGCCTGCATGGTGTAGAGTATCACAGATGCTTAGCGGAATTACCCTCAAATGAAACATCACAGCAGAGGTACACAGTTCCTGCATTGGTTATTGGGCACTGGAGATCACTGGTATAGCTGGCTTGTGCTGTATGCATCACTGCAGCAGGAGCGGGGGGAGGGGAGGGAAGTTCCCTCAGCCCTTTGTAGGGCCCCAGGACAGGCAGGGGGTTCCCCAGGAGGATAGGCAGGACCTCCCCATCTGAGTGTAGGATCACTGTGGGTGGACAGTAGCTACCCCCATTGGCTTGCTGAGTTGTCTTAGCTTGTCCCAAGACAGCAGGTACCCTAATACCTCAGAGGTTTGGTTTTTTGTTTGTTTTTTCCCCCTGGCCAGCTGAAATTGAATTAAGTTATTCTGAAACAGGCTTGTTCCAGGGTGTCTTTGTTATGTTGAAAGCCTCTAGGTTCTGTAGCTAACTTCTGGCCTTCCGTAGCTTGGGCTCCCTTATTATGCTGATGTATGTTTAAGGACACGTTCTACCAGTTGTCCTGGAGTTAAACAATGAGCCTGGGATTTACAATTTTTACTGAGAAAATATTTTTTTCTCTCTTTTTTACATTGGGCTTATGGGGTATCCTAATTTCAGGGCTGTCATGCTAACCCTCAGAGGTGGAGATCTAGCTTATCAGAGAGGTTGTTTTCTTCTGGGCCAACTGGAAGTTAATCCACCCCCTGTATCAGGACTTCACAGGATTTTCTATCATAAGCTGTAGTGAAGCCCTGGGCAGGTTGCTCAAATATATTGTTTGCACTATTTCAAACTTACTTTTCTATATTTGCATATTTATGGGATTGGGGTGAGTCATGTACATTAGAGTGTTGAACTTCTGTGAGAGTGTAAGAGGTGCTGATTAGTGAAAGGCCAATCTGAGGCAGTTCAAGTTAGTACAACAGCACAGCACAGGGTGCTGCACTGGTGTAGCGGTGGATCGTGCACTAAGTGCTTATGTGGTGGTAGGGTGGAGTGGTGGGTGCTGTGACAGCCACAGGTGCTGTACAGGTTTGGAGAAGGGGAACTCTAGTAGCTGTTCAGGCCTGGTGGCCCCATCATATGTTTTGCACATGCTGGGTCAAGGATGATGTATTCATATGTCTAGCAATAGGGAACAATTGCTCTCTTGACACCTGGTCAATTACAGGGACTCAAGGATCTTCAAATTTTTAGCAGCCTGTGATTAAGGAACAAATTCAAAAGATATCTAACAACCCTCCAAAGACAAGTCATCTGAGCAAGTAACTTTCAGAAAATGTAATTTTTAATTAGAAATAATTGAGCACAATTACTATAGTAGCTAAAGTAATTTTTGAAAGACATCTATCACCAAAATACATGCAATTTGCATAAACCATTCTTCAACATCCTCTTTCCATTTTTTAGGATATTGAGTACATACGATCCCATTACAATATTGAAGACTTCATCTACTTCAGTCACCACCAGCGTGAGGAACATGGGCATTTGCAGCACTTTGCCTTGAACCCCATTTTCCGACACTACACCAAGTTTTTTCTGAAGGAGATTCTTCGTTTAAGCTTGAAGTCCTGCCTGTACTATCCCATCTACCCACACTACAAGAGAAGTAAGGTAAATGACTTTGGTGATGTATAAGATCCTTCACTCACTAATACTTACAGTATACCCTTGCCGAGCTACATTTCATTCCTTCTTCCCAAGGGGAGTTTTCTTTATCACGTAGATCTGAATTTTAATTTACCCTTTTCTTATACTCTTGTGAAACTCCATAAGGATTTTAATATCTGACAGAAGCAGGACAAATTTAATAAGGAGTGCAATGTGCTGACTTTTCTTTGTTGACTATGCAATATAGAAAGCTATGAAAACTGTAAATTGCAAAAGTACTCTGAGACATGAAAATAAAATTATTTCTCATAGTGTATTAGTGTAATTCAATGCCAAAGTGATCCTACCATGTTATTTTATACTGAGAATATTTTAGTAATGAACCCATAAAATTAAACAATCTTCTTCGAAAAGATTGTTCTATCAGAACATTTCAAATGAGCACTAATACTACCCCGAGAAGTTTGATGGTGGTTTCACATTTGTAACCTTTATGTAGGAAATACCAGAGTTCCTCTGTATAATAACTGTCCATATGTATATGGAGTAATAATCTACAGTAATCACCTGTATTATGTATATTCGGTGTGCACGCACAAATAACAAGTTCTTTACTTGGATTCCACATACCTTTATCCTGCTTTAATTTTCTTTGTAGCACTTTTCACTACCTCAAATTATATTTTAGCATACCGGGAGAGGTTTATATTTTATTCATAACTCTATGCCCAATGCCCATACAGCTGCTGACAGCACCAGTCCTCTACTCTGTGCAGACTCAAGGAATGATGAACGCCAACCACTAGACTACCTAGAAGATAGATATCCCATCATACCCATTAACAACCTGAAACTTACACATCTTCTTTCTTTATTCTTTAACACTGTCCCATTTCTCCTTAGTTATTATAAATGAGCAAGATAGATATTTAAATAAATGTATTTATTACAATAAATCAAAACAATATGAGTATATTTGAAGCATTTGCATACAAGAAATTTTTCCAATTTAGTTTATTTAACAATAGCCTTTTCAAGAAGTACAGGGGGATGAGGAAGAAAGAAAAATGACCCTGAAAAAGTTTTTTATGTGATATGATAGGGAATCAAAAAAATAATTTTTACTATCAAAATGCAGTATTGTGGCCATGATAAAAGTCCTAGTTTAAAAGAAAGAAAGGAAAATAATTTTTCTTGAAAATCTCATCCCTGCACAATTTTGTTTTCCTTTGCATTTGGCCAATTTCCAACTTTGTAACCTTCAGGATGTAATATTAAATTCTGAGTATTTATTCATGATATTGCTTGTACATGCTGGTTTAGTAGAAAGTCGATTTGCATCCATAAGGCTAAAACTATCTTAGGAATTCTATTAGCTGTTTATAAACCTTATCTGTTATTATAATTGGATATAGAAACACATTTGCAAGATTTCCTCTTAGTTTGCAGTTCCTGTTTTTTTAATTTTTTATTTACACATATACATTTTAAAAAGTGTAAGAAGTGCAAAATAATTTGGACAAAAATTCCCTAATTCTGCTATAAGTTCTCAGGTGACTCCAGTCAAAGTGAGTAATGGCTTAAACTGAGTGATCTTCCAAGTATAAAAAGCAGAGTTCTAGGTAGATATCCTAGGTTTTATTTTTTGTTTGTAAAATTGGTATGAAATGAAATGGTGAGGAGTTTTAGAATTAACTTTTAGAAGTTCTTAGAAATTCCTTGAACTATTTCAGAGCATCAAATATGGTATATCTAAACCATCTTATTTTTAAATGCACCTACAGCTCATTTTTACTTTCATTTATTTCAAGCTTAAATCCATAAATGCATCTTTACAAGCTTGGATTTCATAATTTAGCTTTTGAGGTTTCAATGGCTACAATACTTTTCAGTTGGCTTCACCCAAAGCCCTAAGATTTTTATAAATGTAAAAGAAACAAAGATCATTTTTTCTGCCAAGATTTAATAATTAGATAAAAGTAATATTTAAAGCAGAAAGCATGAAAGATAAGATGGAAGGAATACACAGAGCCGTTGTGTTAGAAATAGTCACCATTCAAACATTTCAGGATATAGCAGATGATCAAGAACTGATAATATTAGCTTCCTGTAAAAGATGGAACTTTAGGTGCATTACACCACCTCTTCAACAAAGACAAAGAAAACAGACATGGAGGGGAAATCTGGTTACCTAAATTTCTGGGAAATGGAAAATAACAGAAAATTTGAAAGTGGCAGCCACACAAGAGGATCAAGAGGAGCAGTGAGCTTCGCTAGTTAACCATGAGCCCAGCAGCCCCTCCCACAGTTAGGGTACTTGTAGCCCTTGCTGTGAAAGATGGACCAACAGCTTGCTCCCCACGGAGTGAATAGAGGAATACCCAGTCTTCAATCTAGTTCACGTAGGTATACCCCTCCCTCCACACTTCCGGGGCAGCTTGTGAGTTTTGAAGGTGGGGCAGACTTGACAAAAACAACACACGCCCGCCATGAGGGGGGAATGCAAAGGGGTCTGAATCATGCCAGGTTTTCCACAGGCTCGAGGGGAAACAGCTGCATGAGGTGGAGGCCGCAATCCACTACTGAACCCCAGCTCCTGCACCGCTCCAGCGGACTCTCTGAGGCTGAAAGACAGGCTTTTCCCTCTTCTTCTTTTTCATATTTTCTCCCTTCTTTTTATGTCTCTCCCCAACCCCCCTGCTCCCTGTACCTTCTGACTTTTGGCCTGACACAGAGGGGAGGAACTATACTTGGTGCCCACAACCCCTGGCGGCCATGGAGGTCAGCCTCAGGAAGAGGACTTTGAGAGACTGGAACTCATACACTGCTGATTGGACTGTAGAACTGTGTACCTCCTGTGGATAGCAGTATAGTGCTTCCTTAAATAACTGGGAATAGAAATATCATATGATCAAGCAATCCTGTACTTGGTATATACCCTAAAGTAGGGGTGGAAAACCAAAAGAATTTTTTTGTTTGGTCAAGAGACATTTAGATATTTATAACATCATTCCTGGGCCATACTGGTCGAATATTTTGTTATAATGTGATGACTGTAACTGCTTCTCTTTGGTGAGGTGTGTGATGTTAACTGGTATTGATCATTTTGTGGTTCTCATATACAGTCCACAAATTGGGCATTGCCCCCTCCTCCACCCCCAGTGAAATAAGAGCCATAGAACGAGCAGATATATGCACACCCATGCTCACTGCAGCACTATTTACAATAGCAAGATGAGGGAAACAACCAAAATGATTATCAGCTGAAGAATGGATGAATACACGTTGGTACATGCACGCAGTGATGCACACACATCCCTGAAGAATAATGATCAAAATGGTGCAACATCGCATGATTCACCTGGAGCAAATTATGCTGAGTGTAGTTTGTCAACCACAAAAAGACAAACAGTGCATGAGACAGTTGTTATAAAATAAAAAAACCAGATAAAGGTTTTTTCATGCCACAAGAAGCAGACTGATTGTTACCAGGATGGAAGAGAGAGGCAGGGAAGGGAGAACAATAGGCTATAGGGCACACAGGTGAAGAAGAAGAGAATATTCTATTAGAGGGAGAAGAGGGGGAAAAGAGGAGGGATGAGGCAAATTACTGGGAGGTTTGAAAAGGTTTAAATTATCAAATACAAAGATAAGGAGATGAAATATAAGTCCCTACCTAATTCACAATACAAAGAAGAAACTCAAGAAGGTATTGGCAATAAGTAAGACTCTAGGCATTGACAGACATCCACTTGACTGTGTCAATAGACAGACGCAATGTTTGCTTGTCTATGCCGAGGAATTGTCGCAAACCAACAGGAAAGGTGATCCAAAAGAACGTGAAAACTACCAAACAGTGTCACACACAAGTAAATTTTTTGCTGAAGATAAATTAAAAATGGTTGTAACTACTTCAACAAGGAACTATCAGAAATTCAAGCATGGTTGAGAAGGGTTGTAGAATAATACTTATCATTTCTGATGTCAGATAAATCTTGATGGAAAGCAGAGAATGTCAAAAAGACGCTTTCCCTTTTTTAAAATTGAATATCCAAAGGCATTTTGACTGTGTGAATCATAAAAAATTTTAGACAACATTATGATGAATGGAAATTCCAGAAAAATTCATTGTGCTTCTGTAAAACCTGTTCATAGACCAAGAGGGAGTCATTTAAACAAAACAAGGAGCTGTTACTTTGTGATTTTTAATCATGAAAGGTGTATGTCAGTTTTATCCTTTCACCATACTTATTCAACCCAATAAGCAAATACCCAAGAATCTGAGGTTTATGAAGAACACAGCATCAGAATTTGAGAAAGACTCATTAACAACTTGTAATGTGCATATAGCACAGCTTACTCGCTGAAAGTGAAGGAAATTGGAAGCACCTACTGATGGCGATAAAAGTGTACAGCCTTCACTGTGGATTATACCACAACACAAAACAACCCCAGAAATCCAGAAGGACTAGTAAACAACATTATGATAAATGGAGTAAATATTGAAGTTGTCAGGGATTATAATTTTACTAAGATCAACACTTAACATTCATGGAAACGGCAGTCAAGAAATGAAATGACATATTGTATTGGGTAAGTCTGCTACAAAAGATTCCTTTAAAATGTAAAAAACAAAGGTGTCACTTTGAAACCTAAGGTGCATCTGACCCAGGCCATCGTGTTTTCAATCGCCCCGTATGCCTGTGAAACCTGGACAATGACTACGGACGACCAGAGAACAACTGATGCCTTTGAGTTATGGTTTTGGGGAAGAATGTGAAATATATCATGGACTCCCAGAAAAAAAACCAAATCTGTCTTGGAAGAAATAAAACTAGAATGCTCTTGAGAGCTAGCATGATGAGACTTGATCTCATGTCCTTTGGACACATGGCCAGGAGGGACCCATCCTGGGAGGATATCATGATTGGCAAAGTAAAGATGAGGGCAAAAGTAGAACACTCTCAGTGAAATAGACTGGCACCGTGTCTACAACAAAGGCTCCAACACGGCAACCAAGAAATGGTGCAGGACAGAGCAATGCTGTTCTGTTGTGCATAAGGTCCCTAGTAGCTGGAACTGACTTGATGGCAATTAACACCAATACTGAAAAAATTTTACCTCAATATGGTTTATTGTAGTTCATTTCAAAAAGGATAAATTCTGATCATAATTATTAATGTATTAAATTATTAATGTATTAAATTAAATGCCTTATTTTATACAAATAAATAAAGTAAAAATTGAATAATCCAATCACACTCCGCCCCCTCACACAAGCTCTCACACATTTTCTGATCTTATGCTGTTGTTTTTAAACATTTATTTCCCCAACAGAAGTACAATTGGAATTTCTGTGGGTAACGCTAGCAAACACAAGGATTTTCACATTTGCACTAAGCTGCCCTTTGGATGACATTTGTATCTATGTGTCTTCTTAAGGCAGCACACGCCAAACAAGCAAAGGTTAACAGGACGCAGATAGCACAGCGTAATGGGGTCAAATCAAGCTGATTCATGATCACTGTGGAGAAGATATCCTCCTGGGGAAAATACTTGTACTGAAAAATCCCATAAACCAAACCACTTGTTTATCTGTCATTCCCACAGAGATAGTAATGTAATTACTCTTGTAATTATCTTCATTAGTGTCAGGCATTATCTGCAATTCATTCCTCAGCTCCAAGAGTGTGTTTGTTTACTTGCTAATTTTTTTCTCCTCTCCTATTTGGCTGAGTTAAGGATTTTGTATTTATAAAGCCGCATGCAGACATCTGTGCTACGCTGCTCTGACATTCTCTCCCCTAAAATACAGATTGCTGTCTTTCAGCTCCAGAATCCCTACGCCCACTCCCTGACATCTGCCCTTCATTACTTGGTTCCCGTGCGACCACGACGACAGATTGTCTATCCTCTGGAAAAGCTTGGCATGAATGCTCCATCAAAGGAGGTCTCCAAGGATCTGGTGGGTAGCGGGCAGCAGCAGGCAGGGAGGCGCAGTGCCAGCTCTCGTGGGCTTGGCAGATGGGGTGGCAGCACTGTCTTTGTGGAACAGGCTGCTTCTTAATTACAGGGAACCTGGCTCATGCTCTTACAAGCAGCACCCTGCGCACGCTCCACACAGCCCTCCCCTCAAATGGTTATTTCACAGTAAAACTAAAAACAGTAGCCACATGACCCTACAGGCAACATTACACTACACGTGGCTGCTGTGTCCCCAGAAAAACAGCCTGAAGTCAAGCTCTGAACAAGCGAGCTGTTTTGTCTTCACTTCCCTTCGTCAAGAACAGATTGTTGTTGTCTTTTTTGTTTTTGTTTGTTTGTTTTTGTTTTGTTTGACTTTCTGTATATGAAACCCAGGATAGGTAATCTATAGAGACAGTAATTGGATTAATAGTTTACTAGGGTCATCGCAACAGAGGTTGGGGGTAAGGGGAGGAGGGGCTGACAGCGAGTATAAGGAGAAAATGTCCTACAGTTGATTGTGATGGCGATTGCGCAGCTTTTTCTAATAGGATTGGATTATTGAATTGTATGATATGTAAATTATAGGCCAATTAAAAAAAAGGAAACAAGCAAACAAGATAAAACATATGAGTAGCTAAAGTTTTATATGTATCAAAAAAGAGTGCGAATTCTATCAAAAATCAGTTGAGTTGAATATCCTCCATTAAAGTTTAAAAAATGGAATATGAACTGAAAAGATCAGATTCCCCTTTGATCTTAGCCAAAAGGCTGAAAAGCGATGGATGTTTTACTTTCAAGGAATTCAAGGTCCATTCATACTTTGGACAAATCTGACCAGGAAGATAGAGCTGGCTCTCTCTGGGATGTTTGGGTCCCGAGTTTAAGCTGGGTTTGTTGGACTCCTCTGCAGGGATTTAGTTGCAGTGATTAAACAGGAGCACATCTTGTAGGGTGACAGGGCTTTCTGACATTAAAGTGAATGCACTTTTATTCGCAGAATAAGAAAAGGAACTTCAACAGAGCACAAACTTCTTTTTACATGTATATGCACATGACTCTGGTCACACAGTCATTTTTAATAGCCTACTATGAGAACATACATTTTTAAAAGTGACTTACCCGTATCCTTGTAGTTTTGTATGTACTTCCACTTATAAAGCTAAAAAGAAACCAAAAAAAGCTAGCTCTTAATGGGCCAACATCTGACCCTTAGGAGAAAAAGGAGAGTGGATATTCTCTTTGCTTAGGCAAGGCCTCCAAATAAATTCCCAATCCCTCTGCCTTCAAAAGGTACCTCATTCTACGCTCTTGCCAGGCCCTATTTTATAGAAAGTCCCCTGAGGAGGTGGTTTCAACCCTGATTCTACTGTAACTGATGCTACTCAAATTTACTTGTAAACTAAAATTTTATATTTTCTAATAAGTTGTAAATTTATCTGAGTATAGAAAACACAAATAACTATTCTCTCCCACTACCCACACTCACCTCCTACAAGTCCTTAATATGGATATAGAAAATATCATATGAGGGTGTACCCCCAAGAAACTGGAAAAAAGCTCCTTTGGACAGAGCTTTCATAGTACCCATTTTTCCTACTAGGTGAGCACTGAGCATTGCTCTGAGTTAGTGCACCCAGTGGCATTGCCTGGGAAGGTTCTCTTTGGTCACAGTCAATTTTTTTCTGGAAGCAGTTTTACTTGAACCTC